TGTCAATAATGCAAAAATTCTGTACAATACATGCTTTGCTACGCATAAGTGTGAAACTTAAAATCTTTTTCGCTTATTTGCGGCACACAGCTTGAAACACATAGCTTTTCTAACCCTAATAGGGGGGTCATGTCCCTCCCCCCCCCCCCTCCTATTGTTGAGGCGCGTCGTAAAATTGTCAATGTTGTCGGAATCTCGATGAAGGATCGGAAAAAGTGCTACAGAAATCGGGAAAAGTGCACTGTAAATTCAAAAGAGTCAAAACGACGGAGACAGAGTCGTTTTGGGGTCAAATGCTACGAAAAGAATTGTAATATTATTGTCTGGAAATTTTTTTACCAAAAAGTTGTCGACGCGGGGGGGGGGGCGGGAATTTAAAATGTTGTTGTCCGGAACATTTTTCCTTGGCCCCACCTGGGTTTTTGCTGCCTTCTGACCAAACATCCTGGCTACGCCTCTGCTACAAGGTTGTCAATCACAACTTGGTGACAAATTGTTGACTGATTGCAGGATGATAACAAGTTGTTGGAACAAATTGTAACAAGTCTGTTGAACTCAACAATCTTGTAGCATGTTATCAACAGGCCGTTGACAACTTGTCAACAAGCTGGGAACAAGCAATGCGAACACATCCTGTTGACAAGTTGTTGCAACAGCATTGCTACAAGTCTGCTGCAGGTTTGTCACAACTTGTGCGTTTTTACGTGCGTGTAGGAGCCTAGTAGAAACCATTTGCCTTTTATTTTAGGCCACTTCATTATTGAACTAAAAATAATTATAATTGATATAATGTCAGTTCGAATGTTTTTAGCGAGAGTTTCGGTTTTGGGTATTTTAATTAATGCATGAAATATAAAACAACGGTAACTCCAAAAATAAATTAAATAATACAGCATTCCGGCTGTAGAGCATCGTTTTCGTGACTGAGCCATTGGCTCTAGAGCACTTTATCTCGTTATATCAGTGAATATAAAAAGCTCGTTTATAATTATGTTCCCATGCATGCAGTAGCAAGGTACAGGGCTTTAAAGCTAATGTCGCGATCATGGAGACGAGGCTCTATAACCACGGCAAAATACTTATCGAATTTTGTGTTATCCAATTTTGCTACTCATAGCCAGATATGAGCGACATAGTGATTACGCAACACTAAGTGATCACCCGTGCCTGATTCCCAATATTTATAGTAAATTGTATTACTAATTCAACAATACAATACATTTCCAGAGATGCGAAGATCGAATTCGATCAAACAAATGCTAGCGAACAAACTGAGCCTAAAATTGTGTTGTCTCGATGTCGGCAAACATTGTCCCTGAGAAATTCAAAATCACCAACGAGACCGTAGTGAATTAGTTAACAAAAAGCATGAAAAATTGCAAAATACCCTGTGAAAATCCTTCGCTACGCCGGTTACAGTCAATACAGACAATACAAATTTCTACATGCGAAGCTTGTTCCGGCAAGATGAGGTTCTTACGGCTTTGAATGATATGAAAACGAAGAAATATATTGATCCCTTCCCTTGTCCCTGCCTTGTTGTTTTGAAGGTAGTTAAGAGCATCCAAGACCGGTAAACACTTCGTTTTGGTTCCAATAGCATGGCCATAACTCGGCGAAATGTCGGTCAATTTCTTCTCCAAAACTATTGCCAGTTTGAAGCTCGTTTCTTGCTTGTCTTTAATAACATGCTTTTAAGTCATATGCGCCTGTTTTTATCGTTAAATACCGCTGAAATCTCGGGTTTTGGGCAATCCTAATGAAACCGAAGGCCAGACGAAAGCCGCGGGATATCGATAAACCTCCGGATGGGATCGTATATTTAATAGATAATTACTGAGGCCAACGGCATTATTCGATATATTGCAGCCAGCTGAGGCCGAAGGCCGAAGCTGGCTGCAATATATCCAATAATGCCGTTTGGCCGAAGTAATTATCTATTATAATTACTGACTCGAATCAAAAGTAATTATTTTCGGCTGGAAGACTACGTTGCTGCTTGTTGGGACCGTATGACAATGAATCTATCCGACGTTACACTAGACATTTGTGAGGACATGCATGTAATGCATCGTGATAGAACAGATTTCAGTTTAATTAATGGCCCTAAATTAAAATCTCCACAAGCGGAGGTCAATTATAGTGTTCTAGTTTACATATTATCATTAATGATAAGATTAATTCAAAGAGCGTATTAAACTGGATAAACACGGGAATAGAACTTATGGTGTGTTCTGGACATGCGTATATCTAGGATAAAATCCCACAAGCGCAAACGAAACTATTTCTCTATAAAGTTGAGCTGAAAGGACTCACAGTGACCGTTTTGGCAGTGCTTCAGGCGCCCGATGATATTGTATGAGGGGCCTTTAGCACTGTCAACTTCTCATCTTGAGATGTTCACGTTATCTATCGCGTGTACTTGTCAGGATGACGAAGGATTGCGAATAATGTCTGTGTGCACTGATACACGCTGCATTATTTTTAATAATGCTGTGTGCACGCTGCATTATTTTTAATAATGCTGTGTGCACGCTGCTGGGAATTTCCCTACAATAAAAAAAGACCGCTCCCGTTTTTCAGAAGAACGCTAAAACTTCTCTACATTCGCTGATATAATGCAGAGAGAAAACAATAGGTTATTATGACCGTCAGTAATTATTTATAAGTAATAGCATGCATGGCATTCAGGGCGATTAGTGATTAAATTGTACCCGAAAGCCGAGAGAGTAGTTTACTACTGCTCGTTTTTTACATCGGTACTTCCAACATAGCGGCTAAAACTTGAAATTTTTATATATTTAATGTTTTTTAAGACAAGCTAAGAAAGTGCTTGTCAACTTTACTTTTATAAATAATTTTTGCTTTTAAATCAGTTTTGTCAAAAAAATTATATTCTGATTTCTGTTTATGTTTAAATCTTTGCCATTTCGGAATTATTTATTTTTCAAAAATATATTTGTTAACCAGCTTAAATATCACAAATGTATTTACCAACGTGTAAACAGTTGCTGGGAGTTTTCTATTGTGTTTTTATTGCCGTTAAGGGTAAACCGGCTACATTCCCCGATAATCACCGAGCCTGAGGCGAATAATTGTCAATTGTTATATGGCTAGGGTGAACACCAAACGTGATTGGCTGATTTTTGGTCACGTGACTGCAGATAAATGCAATGTATCCCGCCGGGCAACAAGTGAAAAATTGTTGCGCGCCTCGACTGGGTACGTACATAAACAAATAAAATGGCGGCACAACTAGCATAATTAAAAACTACGATTTTCCAAGTTTGTGTTCAAATAAAGAATATAAAAGAGAAGAAAAATACACAACAGGCGACAGGATATGCTGCTGAAACCATTTAAGTACATAGGTTATTTTAATTCTAAACTCGTAGTTACACTATAGAGTTTTTGTCACGAAATACAATTGTTCTATGAATGTTGTTGAATGTTGATTTTTGTTCATCGCTATATAACAAAACGCTTAATGTCTGTTCCCTCGGGTAATAGCTTAATGTCTGTTCCCTCAGTAAGCGCTTAATCTGTGCTACCTCGAATCTCAAATGAGACTCTCGGGAAAACAAAACAAACTATTTTCTTCAGAAGCAGACATTAAGTGTATATTATTATACGCTAACATGCCATTGACTAATCACAGATCTTCAATATAGGGTCACGTGCATGCCCGATATTTTGCGATGTAGGACAGTGCATACTGGACAGTTGTTTTTCTAGTTCTTAATTGATCTATCGTGCCTAAATTTTTCCTGATTTATCGAACCTATTCAGATTTTTTGTCAATTTAAAACACAAAACAAACGATCTGGCAAAGTAATTAAAGGGTAATAGGAACATTTTTTAAATTAAGGGCGTTTTTTTTACCTTTTTTAAAATTATAAAAATTCGCGAAATTCATTTGTCTACAACCTTCGCGAGGTTAGTAAAATATCATTTTTTCGTTAAATTAGATCAAATTACCTTTAAAAATGCATGGAATTGGGTGTTTTTAAAAACAAGTTCATTAACTTTTTTGTGTTTAGTTATTTTAATTTGAGCAAATTCGCCGTCGATGTGTGATAATTTTATCGCTGTATCATTCACGCTTACATACTACCCAATATGGCAAAATATTAAGTCTCGACTGCAATATTAAGCTCGACCTTCGGTCTCCCCGGTATGGCAGTCTCTGTTGGGTTTTGTGGTGCAGCCATTTGCCACCCCTTTAACTAAGTACAACCTGACACGACAACTTTAGTGTTCAACAGTTTTATTCACTCTGACTTTACATAACAAAATTACATCTATATATAAGAGATTACATGATTATACATTTAGGATATGTTACATTACGTTTTCATTCATATTACCATGCATATTAGGTTTATCGTTGGATAATCATTACAACATATATATGTGTGGAAACTATGGAATTATGTTCCTGCGTCATCTTTTCTAATCGCATATCTTAATTATATATAATCATATTAATTACTAACAATCAATCATCAGAATATTATAGAGCATACTTTTACACCCCCACTTGTTCTTTATGTTCTGAGCATATTTCTTAATTATTATTTTACACATTTAAGCTTAAGCTTACGCCCTAAACTTACTATTCTTTGAACCATATTCATGTTAAATTATGCGCTTGGTGTTCCTATATATTTTTTTTTTGTTCTTCTCTATCTTCCTAACATAATACCTCCAAAACGTCCTAGTTTAATCTTGCTGGCTGGCTTGGTAAAAATATCAGCTACATTTTCTTCACTTGGAATATACTCTAGAATAATTCGAACTTCCTGTATTTCGATCTGATAAAATGGTACTTTATATCTATGTGTTTTTACCTTTGGTGATGAACTGGATTATTGGCTAAATTCATAGCTCCCTGGTTATCTATCATAATTAGTAACTTACCTTCAATACTTACCCGCATGTCCTTGCAAAGTTGTCGCAAGAATTTAGCTTCTTGTATTGCATTTGCGAGTGCTACATACTCGCTTCACACGTCGATAATGCCACGGTCGGTTGTTTTCGGCTTTTCCACGATATCATTGGACCATCTTGTGTAAGCTGGAAATTGTAGCCTGTCACACTTCGTCTATCTTCAATAGACGCACCCCAATCTGAATCACAAAATACTTTAAGAATTAGTGGAGAACATGATTTCCTAAAAGTTAATCCTAATTCCTGTGTACCTTTCAAGTATCTTATAAGACGTTTTTGGCTGTGCTTAAGTCTGCTTGTGTGGGCTTCGACATATTCTGTGACAATTTTGTCACAACAAAACATAAATCTGGTCTTGTTCCAGTCATTATGCAAATTAAGCTTCCTACCATGCATTGCCCTGCATCATCTTGGATCAGTTAATTCAGGTTATTTTTCGTTTGAACTGACTTTCTCAGTTCCTAAAATGCACGGAGTTGGTTTAGGTTTACAATCAGACATTTCAAATCTCGAGAGAATTTTCTTAATGTACCGGATTTGATTCATCTTTATACAGTCTCTGCTGTATTTAAATTCGATACCTAAAAACCATTTCAATTCACCTAAGTCCGTCATTTTAAATCTATTGCTCAACGAATCTTTTACACTATTAAGTAAATCGGAATTGGTAGCAGCAATGATAATGTCATCGACCCAAATAATAATAACAACACATCGCTCATCGTCAATTGAGCGAACATACAGACACGGATCTGCAAGTGATTGTGTAAATTTCTCTTTCACCAAAAATGTATGCAGTAAATTGTTCCAATTTTTGCCGCTCTGTTTAAGTCCTTATAATGACCGGTTTAGTTCGGACACTAGCTAATTTTTCGCCATTGTTTCCTAATTTTTCGAAACCTTCGGGTTGTTCAATATAGATCACTTGATCGATAGATGCATTTAAATACGCTGTTTTAACGTCCATCTGGTGAACTGTCATGTTGTTCTGAACCGTGCGTTGCAATAAAGCGCGAACTGAACTCATACGTGCGGTTGGTGCAAACGTCTCTTTGTAATCAACGTCTTGCCCTTGTGAATAGCCTTTTGCTACAAACCTGGCTTTATATTTCTCTTCGCCATTTTGGTTTGTTTTAACTGTACATACCCATTTTGCCCCCACTACTTGCCTATCCTTATGATGTGGTACAAGCTCAAATGTTTCGTTATCAGTTAAGGCTTTCATTTCTGTGTTCATGGCCTCTTGCCATCTATTTGCATCTGGTGCATCTACTGCTTGCTTGTAACTTACTGAAATGTTTGCAAGCCTATATAATTATAACAATAGTCAACTGTATAACTTGTGTTTTCGTCTAGCTTATTTAGTCCAAAATAATTAGGTTTGTTGCGTGCTCTTGTTGGATACCTTTCTGCATAAATGTCTTGTTTGTGCTGTTCGTGTATATTTTTGTCATCACCTACTTGCTCAGTCTCAAATTCCTGAGTGTTCTGTTCCTCATTAATGTTTGGCATCTTGGCCTCAGGCTTATCAGTGTTCTCACCTCGCTCTCTGTTTGAAATTAACTGATCATGCTCATATTGCTCGACTTGGAAATTATCAATGAATTTTACACATCGTACTTTTTCTACCTTATTTGTCCCCGGATAAAACACCAAATAGGCCGGACTTCCTTTGTCATACCCGACAAAGATGCTTTTTGGCCACGAGCATCTAACTTTTTAGCATTCTGTACAAACGCATAACAGGTAGATCCGAACACATGCATATTACTTAAATTTGGTTGCTTACCGATTAATGCTTCGTAGGGTGACGGTGCATGTTTTCCCATAAACGTTGATTAAAACATCTATTTCGGATATAGGCTGAAGCCACGGCATATGTCCACAAGTGTTTTGGTAATTGTGCTTCTAGCGAAAGACATCTCGCCATGCTAAAATAACTGACTTCTCCATGCTCTTTCTACTGTACCGTTCTGATGCGGTGAGTACGGCGCACTTGTCTCGTGCTTGATTGCGTGCTTTCTTAAGAGACTCTTAAATCGACAACTAATGAACTCACCTCCGTTGTCGCTACGTAGTCGCTTGATTTTTTCATAAGGGGCAACGTCAGCTATGTATTTCTCTGTTGCTTCTGTAGTGTCACTCTTCTGTTTCAAGAAATAGACCATGTTCATACCTGTCTAAAAACGATAAAGCATATTTAAATCCGCCTTTGGCAGTGGGCTCTATTGGCCCTGCCAAATCACAATGTACAAATTCCAAGGGTGCCTTTGCTCTCTGGTCTGGCTCTCTACTTCTAGTCCGGCACATTTTGCCCTGAGTACATACTTCACATTCTGGCTCCTTGTGATCTGTGGTCTTCATGCCCTTAACTACCTGCTCTAGCTTTCTAATATCTCCGTAATTACACTCCTCTATTGAACTAGCATTATTACTTGATGATGATACGCTATTTAAATAGTACAAACGCCCTTTCTGCCTGATCTCAAATACATTACCTTCCTCAGTGGTGTATTTACTTACCTGTTTACCCAAGTTTACTGAGCCCCCTCTACCTACTTCGGCTGAAACTGAAAAGATATTTTGGTTATAGGATGGAATGTAAAGCGCGTTATACAACATAACATCATGCATATTTCCCTTTACATCAAATAGCTTAACTTTAGCATTCCCTTTTCCTAATACAACGTTAGATTTACTACCATCTGCTAATTCCATAAAATGAGTGCTAGAATCAAAGTTTTCGTCAAAATTTATAAATTTTGAACTGTCATTAATTATGTGACTAGTCGCTCCAGTGTCCACTAGTAAGTTTTCATTGTCCATATTTCTTCTGTCGTTTGGGTCTTTGAGTGTGAAAGTAAACGAGTGTCCATTGTTGTCTTCTTTCTTCGGTTCATTTGCTGTCTTAGCGGCGTCCTTGCCGTCTTTTTGCTTCTGCAGTCCTTCGTATTGTGGATCTTACTTTTACAATTACTGCACCACTTCTCGCTCTTTGTCCAGCAATCCGAGCTTTTGTGACCCTTTTTGTCGCATTTAAAACATTTTCCGTCAAATCATTTTTGTGGCTTTGTGTACATCACGTTGTCATGGTCTTCCGTCTTGCAACTCTTTTCATTCTCCTCGTAGTTGCGTAAGGCTGTTTTGAATTCACTAAAAGTCATCGGCTTCTCCCGCTGTATGACTACAGCTGAAAACGTTTTATAACTTCGCGGAAGTCCCTTTAAAATCATAGCTATTAGCAGTCCGTCGCTAATGACTTCTTCGGCTGATTTAAGCGCCGTCGAGGCAGTCCCCGCTCGGAGCATATAGTCAGTCGTGTTTTCGTTCTCGCCCTTTTTCAACGAGGTCAGCTCCGATCCGTGTACAAAGCGATGATCTTTGGTTTTCCTTTACCGTGGTAATATTCACGTAGCACCGTCAAGGATTTTCTCCCGTCGTCCCTTGCCTCTCTTTTGATCAGAGACAAAATTCGATCGTCCAAGCATTGGACCAATTCGGCGAAGGCAGTTTCATTCCTTGCCTCATCTAGCTCCCGTTCGTCCGCGCTAGGAACAAACACATCGTAAAGTTTCTGAATCCTTGTTAATGCGAGAAACTTCACCTCCCAGAGTTCATACTTGCTTTCATCTCCGTTGAAGACAAGTCCTCTCCTGGGCCCATAACCTGTTGGGTTTTGGGGTGCAGCCGTTTGCCATCCCTTTAACTAAGTACAACCTGACACGACAACTTTAGTGTTCAACAGTTTTATTCACTCTGACTTTACATAACAAAATAAATTACATCTATATTTAAGAGATTACATGATTATACATTTAGGATATATAACATTACGTTTTCATTCATATTACCATGTTAGGTTTATCGTTGGATAATCATTACAACATATATATGTGTGGAATCTATGGAATTATGTTCCTGCGTCATCTTCCTTAATCGTATATCTTTATATAATCATATTAATTACTAACAATCAATCATCAGAATATTATAGAGCATACTTTAACGGTCTCAACTTGAAATTTTGGTATATTGGGCTCAAAAAACAAGCGCGAATTTCTTTCTCGACCAGTCAATGCATTTGTTGATCTTTTCCCTCTAAGCCAATCAGAATGAGTAATTTTGTTACTACTTCCGGTAAAAACATACATTAACAGAACGATTAGGGTGTTAAATAAAGCTTCGATGTTCAGGATTTTAATTTTTTTTATTGGATTCAACGTGACAAGGAAAAATGAGAAATTTTCTAAAAAATTGCCGCTGGGATTTGACGTATGTTATGTCCTTACTGTGCTTGCTGTGGTCAATATCTTTGAAATATAACACAATCCAACAGTATATTATAAATGAGCTTATAAAAAGATGTGATATGTGGGGAGGGAAGTATGCCGAGAGATTAAACCTGGTCTATATGCAAAGGATAAAACACGTCCAACTGGTTAATTATCGACCTAGTTTATTGCTAAATAAAATGCAAGGGTAAGCTATCGAAGACCACTTAAAGTTGTGCATATTTGGCATGAAAACATGTATGTAATATAAAACGTTTGAATACGTACTCGCTTGACACTCGGTTGTCACTTTGAAACACATAGCATTTTCATTGATATAACTTTCAATTGTCGCGGCATAATCATTTTCAGAACATTAAGTACTAAGCAAACGTGTTTAGGGAGCGCGTATTGATATATTACGGGTTCTACTTAATTACAAAGTATATAAATTGTATAAAGGTGTCGATTGAGAAATATCACTATTATATATATATATATATATATATATATATATATATATATATATATATAAGATTTATTTACGTAGAGAAGTGTCAATCGATCCAAAACTTGCATGGTTTAATCAATTTCAAACCCTTTCAATAAAAATAAATACATTATTAGAGATTCTCAACAGATTATTCTTATCCTTGTTCTGTTTTAAAAGCTGTGGCTTGTTGCCCGTTATTTCATATTTCTATAGTGACAACCGAAGTGTTGACCGATGTTAGTTTCATTGCATTCTTCTCGTCCGGAAACGCTTTTTGCATAATTAGCGTGTAACACTAACCTTGTGTTGTATAATGCGTACAACGCCGTATACTGCGAGTCCCTTTCGTTACATATTTTCGGAAGCCTGTGCAACTTTCGTGCTTCGACGGGTCGCGCTAGTACTTGCTAACGTGTCAGCATTTGGGAGGTCTATAAGCCCTGGAGAAATCACGATGTCTGGGTCTTCCTTTACCACGTACGAATACGCTCAATAGTAATATTTGGGATTATCTGAAAAGTTCAATTTAATGCCGCATTTACTCTTCTCGAGCTTTCCGATAGCTCGCCACCTTGATCATGTGGACAACTTTTTAGCCGTGGGGAATTGACTACCGCCCTTTTAATGCGCCTCCAAAATTCCCACCCACTGAATGTTCCTTCCTACCCATGCGTCCACAATTATATCTGCAAATTCTGCTCTAGAAAGATGTGAAATGTCACATTGACTATAAGTGATTATAAAGCAAACGTTCTTTACCTTCGGAGTACACGAATTAGGTAAAACCTTTATTTTACTACGCTGACCCCTACAGCGATATACTAGTGCTGATTTCCAACGGGGGCGTAGATATTAAAAAATCAGATTACATAATCAAATACATATTTAGTTACAATACAGACACTACGATTACAACATGCAAATAATTAGAGATACAAATATCATAAATGAAGAAAATATAGAATTTCGATATGTTCATAGCGAAAGAAAGAAATAATTGACTAATTTGGCCAGGTATTACAATACTTGTTTTAAAGGCAGCAAGCGATTCCTTATTTCGTAAATCATCTAAACATTCCACAGTTTAGCCCCTCTATAGCTAAGACTCTTTTTAAGATGGTCTGTCTAAGGTTGGGGCAAATAGAGTTTAGTGGAAGAACCTCTCAAATTGTAATGCCGGGAGGAAGGCGTTTCTCGGAAAATGTCAGATAGTCGTTTGGGTGCTAGATCATGAATTATTTTATACATCTGGCTTGCTACAAACTGAGTTATTCGTTCCTTTAAAGCCGGCTTCCATTGGATCTCAGCTAGAGCAAGTTCAGACTGTCCATGTACATTTTTACAACCCACGATGATTCTAGCAGCCCATTTTGTAATTTCTGTAAACGATCAGAAAGTGTCAAATTTATAGTATCCCAAACTTCACAGCAATAATCAAAATGCGGTAAAACTAGTGCATTGTAGGCACATATTAACGTGTTGTGATCAACATAAGATTTTAGTTTTCTGACCGCCCCAATTCCGGATGAGATATTTTTGAAGATTTCTTCAATGTGTTTATTTGATCCAAGATAAAAATTGATCAACATAGACCCCACCTCGTACCCAGGGCCTTTGCGCGGTTCAGAGGCTCTAGTACGGGAAGCAAAGGCCCTGGTAAACACTGGTCACGTGTGCCCAAAAATATTGGACATTTCATAATAATTTAGTTTTCAATCGCGGGGGGGTGTTGAGCTGATTGATTTTGTCAAACATGGCAGCGGGAAGGCGCGACGTTTTCGAGTTTTATTATTTTACGATAAATATAACTTTCCTAGTGAGATTTAAAGTGGGTATATATTAAAACTATGCATTCTACGAGCTTTCTTTCAACAAATTGTGGGATTGCGAACGGTAGTACTTGTCAAACATTGAGGATCAAACTGAAAGAAAACTAATCGAGTGATCTGTCTTTTATTAAATAAACTGTCTATTTTGTATCCATGCAGCTGCTTGTGTGCAACGTTTTATAAAGAATTAAATAAACATTGTTGATTAATAATGAGAGATTTTTACTTATTGACCAAAGAATATCACTTGGGATTTTATTGTACTTTCATGGAAGGATACATGCTCAGTAATGTGCCTTTATAGTGAAAGGACATCTATGGAAACGAAATTCTTCATGTGTAAACATGTAATTATCCAAGCAGAATATTTTGACAGTGACAGGTTGGTTTCCGTATGTATGTAGTTTAAAATACAGTTGTGAATGAAATTATACACAGTATCTTGAAACCTTTGGCTTTGTGTGTGAGATAATTTCATAATTATTTTTTGGGATGTTTATTTCTCATTAGGGAGCTTTAGATTTGACTACGAGTACGAGATTTGATCGCGTGCTAGGAAATTACCGTAGTCGTTTTCGTTTCCATTTAAATGTTCTTTTATAGCAGTAAACCAACAATGAGAGAAAAAGTTTCATAAACTAAATCTCCTGCAGACTAAAATCCCCTAGAAAACGTGTAAATAAGTCATAACA